GTCTGTGCCTGCAGGCCGCTCCCGGCGGGAATGGGCAGGGCTCCGTGCAGTCAGGGGGCCTGGGCAACGCTCTGCAGGTTCCCTTCCAGCCTCCAGCCTCCAGCCTCCCGCTCTGAGGCCCCATCCCTGAGCTAGCAACCCCCAAGTCCCGGCAGCCTCGCAGCAGGGCCCAGCACGGAGCACGCTTGAGGGACACTGGCACGTGCTGCACGGAGGCCTGGGGCACTGACTGTTCATGCTCAGACCCTGGAGAGCCCAGGCAACCAACGAACGGGGGCGGAGATGGTCCGGGTCCCCAGGGGAGCCCAGGGAAGCAGGGAACGGGGGTGGGGATGGTCCGGGTGCCCAGGACCAGAGAGTCCAGGGAAGCAGGGAACGGGGGTGGGGATGGTCCAGGTGCCCCAGAGAGTCCAGGGAAGCAGGGAACGGGGGTGGGGATGGTCCAGGTGCCCCAGAGAGTCCAGGGAAGCAGGGAACGGGGGTGGGGATGGTCCAGGTGCCCCAGAGAGTCCAGGGAAGCAGGGAACGGGGGTGGGGATGGTCCAGGTGCCCCAGAGAGTCCAGGGAAGCAGGGAACGGGGGTGGGGATGGTCCAGGTGCCCCAGAGAGTCCAGGGAAGCAGGGAACGGGGGTGGGGATGGTCCAGGTGCCCCAGAGAGTCCAGGGAAGCAGGGAACGGGGGTGGGGATGGTCCAGGTGCCCCAGAGAGTCCAGGGAAGCAGGGAACGGGGGTGGGGATGGTCCAGGTGCCCCAGAGAGTCCAGGGAAGCAGGGAACGGGGGTGGGGATGGTCCAGGTGCCCCAGAGAGTCCAGGGAAGCAGGGAACGGGGGTGGGGATGGTCCAGGTGCCCCAGAGAGTCCAGGGAAGCAGGGAACGGGGGTGGGGATGGTCCAGGTGCCCCAGAGAGTCCAGGGAAGCAGGGAACGGGGGTGGGGATGGTCCAGGTGCCCCAGAGAGTCCAGGGAAGCAGGGAACGGGGGTGGGGATGGTCCAGGTGCCCCAGAGAGTCCAGGGAAGCAGGGAACGGGGGTGGGGATGGTCCGGGTGCCCAGGAAAGCCCAGGGAAGCAGGGAACGGGGGCGGGGATGGTCCGGGTCCCCAGGAGAGCCCAGGGAAGCAGGGAACGGGGGCGGGGATGGTCCGGGTCCCCGGGAGAGCCCAGGGAAGCAGGGAACGGGGGCGGGGATGGTCCGGGTCCCCAGGAGAGCCCAGGGAAGCAGGGAACGGGGGCGGGGATGGTCCGGGTCCCCGGGAGAGCCCAGGGAAGCAGGGAACGGGGGCGGGGATGGTCCGGGTCCCCAGGAGAGCCCAGGGAAGCAGGGAACGGGGGCGGGGATGGTCCGGGTCCCCGGGAGAGCCCACGGAAGCAGGGAACGGGGGTGGGGAGGGGCCGGGTTCCCGGGAGAGCCCAGGTGAGGCCTTTGGCGAGGTGGGGACTCAGTTACCAGCATCACAGGGCTCTGCTGGAGAGGAAAGAGCGTCCCCCCGCATGGGGCCATGGCTGGAGCTCTGTCCCATGGACTGGCTATATCTCGGGGACGTGTCTTGTGCTCAGACTCAAGCGCCCAGGCAAGGCACTGCATGTGGAGGATGGGCAGGTCGGTGCCTGGGCTGTGAGGTCTGCCCACCCCTGATGAGGCCCCTGGGAGGCAGTGCCAATGTCCTGAGAAGGGCCACCCCATGCATCCGTCCCCCTGAGCCTGCTATTGACCTGGCTCCTGCCTTTCCTACAACTGGGTTCTCCCCCATCAAGCAGCCAGGGGCAGTGTCAGCACGGGGCCCCTGCCCTGCCCCAGCACCTGCAGGATGGACACCGCCCTCCAGAAGAGCTTGGAGTTGCTGATCCTCAGGTCCACCGCGTGGTTGTGCAGGATTTTGCCCTTGAGCACGTGGGCCCCGGTGCTGACTGTGTTGAGGATCCACTTGGTGCTGAGCTCCCACTGGAACTTCTGTGGGAAAGAGAGAAACCCGGATCCCTGTGAATCAGGCAGCCGCAAGCTGCCAGCCCTTTCCCCACGCACCTCCGCCAAGTCCCCAGGTGCCCAGCTGCCCTCCCCCCTCTGGCTCAGAGCCGGGGCGTGCGGTACCTGCAGAAAGTTCCCCTCGTACTCCAGGAACAGGATGGGCCACGTGATGCTCATTATGGAGGGAAACAGCTTCTTGAGGGAGGCCTGGGGGGAATAAAGACCTGTAGAGATGCCATGTGGTGGCACAGACGCGCCCGGTGTGCTAGGCGTGTGCGGCTCAGGATTGGCCAAGGGAGTTGTGTTCATGCTGCCGAACGCTAAGGCTTGGCTGACTGGCTGCTCCGCCAGAAGAGTTTCATGGATGCTGTCACGGTCTGGGGCCTGACTGCCCCAGTGGCTGGCAAGGCTCAGGGTGGGGGCAGAGGGCTAGGGCATGAGGGGTGAGGGCTCTGGGTGGCGCTTACCTCAGGGAGCTCCACAGAAGCAGCGACATCCCCTGGGGGCTCTGCATGCTCCCTCCGCCCACAAGTGCTGCTCCTGCAGCTCCTATTGGTTGCAGTTCCTAGGCAATGGGAGCTGCAGAGTCAGCGCTAGGGTGGGAGCAGTGCAGAGCCGCCCAGAGATGTTGCTGCTTCTGGGGAGCTGAGAAGAGCCAGGCAGGGCACCTCTAGCCCCTGCCAACCCAGCCCCCAGCAGCGATGGTTGTCGCAGGCTGCCCCCAAGCCCCCGTGACACCGTTGGCCAGAGCTTGCAGGATTCAGGTGGGGTGCATACTGCAAGCCGTGGGCCTGTTTCCTGCCCATGCCCCGTCCGTGACGTTCACTAAAAATGCCCCAGGCCTGGCTCTGGTGAGCTGTGTGTCCAACACCAGGGCTCGCTGTGCACAGGATGCAGAGCTGAGCGGCAGGGAACCCAGTTCCCCAGGCAGGGCGTTGTCCCAACCCTCGGAGAGCAAGGTCAGGTGGGGTGCATACTGCAAGCCGTGGGCCTGTTTCCTGCCCATGCCCCGTCCGTGACGTTCACTAAAAATGCCCCAGGCCTGGCTCTGGTGAGCTGTGTGTCCAACACCAGGGCTCGCTGTGCACAGGATGCAGAGCTGAGCGGCAGGGAACCCAGTTCCCCAGGCAGGGCGTTGTCCCAACCCTCGGAGAGCAAGGGACATCTGTGCCTGGGCTAGTGAGCTGTGTGTCCAACACCAGGGCTCGCTGTGCACAGGATGCAGAGCTGAGCGGCAGGGAACCCAGTTCCCCAGGCAGGGCGTTGTCCCAACCCTCGGAGAGCAAGGGACATCTGTGCCTGGGCTAG